CCCAAACTAGTAAGGTGTGTGATTCTATTTGGGTAATAGTTGATAGACTAACTAAGTCCACTCATTTTTTGCTAGTAAAGACTACCTATGGAGTGGCACAGTGTGCTAGATTATGTGGATGAGAGTGTGATTACATAGAGTCTTTGTCACCATACTATCAGATAGATGAATGGGTAATCTAAGTGGACTAGTTAGGCATTAGAAGATATGTTACGAGCTTGTGTTGTACACTTCAGAGTCACTTGGGATTGACACTTACCTTTGATAGAGTTTTCCTATAACAACTTTCAGTCTAGCATTCAAATGGCACCTCATGAGGCTTTATATGGGAAAAAGTGCAGATCACTTATTTGTTGGTTTAAGGTTGATTAGTGGAAGTTTTTTGGACCGGATATGGTTCAAGAGACCATTGACAAGATTCAGTTGATTAAAGAGAATATGTTGACAGCACAAAGTTGTCAGAAGTTATATGTCACCCACAAACGTAAAGACTTGGAACTTAATGTTGGTGATCATGTGTTTTTTAGAGTTTTACCATAGAAAGGCATTATGAGGTTTAACAAGAAAGGCAAGTTAAGCCTAAGGTATATAAGACCATTCGAGATCCTTGAAAGAGTTGGCAAGATGGCGTATCATCTAACACTTTTACCAGATCTTTGTAGCTTTCACTCAATATTGCACATTTTAATACTTCAAAAGTACAATCTCAAGCCATCTTATGTGATCCAGCATGAGACTTTACAATTGAGAGATGATTTGAGGTACGAGGAGCAACTAATTGAAATTTTGGATGGACATGTGAAGAAATTACGCTTTAAAAAGATTGCCTTAGTCAAGATGCAATGGTGTAATCACCTAGGTGAAAAGGTGATTGGGGAAGCTAAGGACAACATGAGAGCAAAAATCCCAAGCTTATTCAGTGAAGGTTAGTAAATATTTAATTTCAAGGACAAATTTTCTTAAGGGGAGAGAATGTGAACCCACTCAACCTTAGGCATAGATTAGTTAAGTAAATCCTATTCGGTGAGCAAATTTAAACATGTTTGACACCTAAATCTCAAATTTTAAGAGAAAAAGTTCCTAAGAGTTGTAAATAGGCCATAAAGAAGTGTTTTCAAAGCAAAAATTTACATTCTAGAGTAAAAGTATCGATACATTATACCTAAGAAACTTTCAAAAAGGATTTAGATGAACAAGTATCGATACATAATGAATATGTATTGATACATTAAACCTAGAAACTCAAGTATCAATATTTTTTTTCAAATGTATCGATACTTGTCATCAATTTTTAAAAAATAAAAAAGAGTAAAAATGTTTTTTCCACCCAAAAACATTCGAATTTAGGTTTCTTTTTCATTTTTTCAAACTCCAACTACCTTTTCAACATTTTCTCTCAAATTTCAACACTTTCAAACTTCTTTTCCTACCAAAAAAACCTCATTTTCGAAGATTTAAAGTTTGGTTTGTGTTTTTCTAACTATCAAAGTTAAAGTTTCCACCTTTTAATCTTTCAAAACTTAGATTTCCATTATTGATTTTATGTAATCAAATAGATTTCGTGGTTTGTCAAAGAAGCTAAGGTTTCTAGAGACTTTTATCCTTTGTAGTTCACCAAGGTAAGGACTAGTTAAAGATTTAAATGTATTTACCATTAGATAAATGAAAAATAGTAGATTTAAAGCTAGAAATTTAGTATTACTTGAACCCAACAAGTTTTGTAATTGGTATTGATGATTACCACAAGATTTTAGTTTAAGTAATACTTACAATGATTGTTGAAAGCTTAGGTGTTGTCAAAACTCCAAGGAATTTGCTGGAGTCCAGTCTTGGTCGTTGGTAAAGGTTGAGTCTCGTAAAGGTACGTGGATCCACCTTTTTAAAGTATTTTATATATGTAAAGTAAAAAATTATTTATTGAAGTGTTTATCATGCATGATTAAAGATTACCTTTATAATGGCTTCTCAAATGTTTTAAACCCAAATGTTTTAAACCCAAATGATTTCAAAAATGTTTTTGAATATACTATATATGTAAATATCCTATTGTGTATCAGCTTTCAATAAAGGGGGACAAGCCTTTTATTTGATTGTCCTTCGAAATGAGCTCAAGTTGATATGATGAATATGAAATGCATGTATGCTACGTGAGATGTTTAGGTGGATGTAGACATACCCACCCATGAGCCTATGAAACATTTATGTGATGTGTATATAAGCATGTCATGTACGATAATTTTGATTTGTATGTGATGTAGTTCCACATACCTTATGAGTAAAACACATGAGCCATGGAGAAGTATGACTATGAAATGATGATGTTATAAGTTATGGATATGATAGATACTATATGTTTAGAAGTAATCCAAGATAGTGTGGATTTTTACCATTATTCGTTATGAGTTGGGACAAACTACATGAGATGCCACTCATAAATGCACTTAGTAATCTAAGTTAGTAGGGATTAAACCCTAGCCGTTAAGATTTGGGGCTGACTGCCACTCCCAAGAAATCTAAGATAGTGGGGATTAAACCATTTTCACCTTGACTTGGGGCGAGCTACCACTCACAGATAGTTGAATTCTAGTTAATTATTAGAATGATTAGGGAGAATATATTGTAAGAAGATTCTATACAAGTTATAAATGAGGAAATGACATGGTATAGTTGAGAACTTGATGGAGTATAGCTTAGTCAACTGAATCTTAGTCTATATGATTGATCCTATGGTTAGGATGACGTTTAGAGTTGGAAAATGCAAAAGATGTTTTAGTAGACTAGGTTTTATGAATAAAGTATTGATACTTGAAGAGTAAGTATCAATACGTAGAACATAGAATGTCCCATGAAGTATTTTGTGTAGCAAGTATCGATACTTTTCCAAATGTATCGATACTTCAATTACAGAATAGTGTTTTCACTTTGTTTTCACAATGTTTTCAAATGTTTATAACTCCCATTTTCATCCTAAATGTTTATGCAAACTTTGGCTTCTATTATACTTATAAGAAATGGTTTTGAACAATGCTATATACATTAGTTTAAAGAAAAACTTATGAGATTTGTTAATGTCATGATTATATAACATATGATTTATGCAATAACTCTTTCCCTTGGCTTATCCCCTTCTCGTATTCACTCACAAAGTATTTGTAACTCACACATTAGTTTTTTTTTTGGATCAGTGAATAACTTAATACCCTTATCGTGGAAATGAGCTCTCGATCTTTCTTAAAAAGTGTTCTAGCAACCCCCTTAATGCTTAAAAGGTCGAGTCCTATTCCACTGATGAGTTGGTCTTTATTTTATTGTTATATGTTGATGGATTTTTCTTTATGAGTATTTATGAGTATGTAAACACAAATGGCATAACGATTTATATGTTTTACGAGAATTTGACAGTTAAATACTTATGATAAAATATTTGCTTGAGTTATGAAAACTACTTTTCATTTATAATTTATTAGTATTTCTGCACGTCGTGAGGTAACATTCCACCTTATTATGATAGCACCTAGTATGATGTTCATTAGCTTTTCCACACTTCGTTGTGTTGAATTCCACCATGTTGTGATGGCGAACCAAATTGCATGTTGATGTATTGCTGATAATGTGTATGCTTTATACATATGAACAATATATGACTTATGAGTAAGAAGCTTGCTTAAGCCTAGTCGAGCACACCCACATAGGTCTTTGCATCAGTCATATCTCTAGAAATGGGATGTGACACCTTAGTTGGCTACAATAAAAACATAAGCTTGCAACTCTATAACATTGTATCCTATGTTGCTGAACACAGAATGTACATAATACCCTTAATTGTCCCTTTTGCTTAGAGGCATATTACCTCAATAAGATTGTAGTCTTATGCTCTTGTCTCACATCGGTACTAATAGATATGCTTTTCTGCTCCTATCCCACATCAATACAGATAAATATACTCCCTTGTTGGGAGCCTAGTGACAACGAAATCCTATGTTAGCCCTACCGGCCCATTAAGACTGAAGCCTTACTCGTACTGCTGTCTCTTTGGCCTTGCTAGCCACCTATCTAGGCCCTTTTAGCCAAATCACAAGTCCCTCGACTTTCCACATTATTCCTTTTCTCTCATATGAGTGCATTCCACAACAAAAGAGTATGTTCCATAACTTTGAAGGGCTATAACCTTAACACAATGGGTCAAGGACCATTACATTGCTTGAAAAAAGGACACCTTTCCCCTAGTACACAAGATGACCACTCTTCTAGGTACATCTATATAGTCATGGCTCGATACAAGGTTGATTGATGATACTAAGCCTCTTGTTTACTAGGCTAGTTGGTTGGATTGCTGGTTTGTTAATTTACTTGAGTTGTTGCCGTGCTTGGTCTAAACACTTAAATCGTGACACTGATATCTATCTCATGAATCATTATGCAGCACCCACAAATGATGACTATTTTACCTTTTCACTTGGATGTATATTCTATTTAGACTCAAGTGTTATGTGAAGGAAACTTATGAACTAGTTTGGGAGTATATTTCATTGAGACCAAGAGCTCCTTTGGTATAATGTTTACAGTGCCAAAAGACCACTTTTGGTCCAAAAGTATTTCTTTTACTGCACTTTATGAGCTTATTGTAAAAGCTTATCAAGAGGTTTTTTTTCTTGGCTGTCAAAAACACTTTTTAACTATTAAATAATATTGGTTTGAATCACAAAATTGTTCTTGTAATTATTTAAATATTTTGAATTCAAACATTTTACTTCTTTATCGCCCTTTTTTTCAAAGTAATATCAAATATTAAAACGAAAAAAAAAAAATCACAAATCAAGGTTTCTACAGTAAATTTGAAACGCACCTGTTGCAATTCGATCTTTTTTAAAACACAACAACAATAATAAACTAGGTTTAAGAACCCAGGGAGCAGCTTGGAAATCGACCCAAACAATGGGCCCATATGTACACTTTGAGTGTATATTCTGATTTCAACTTTAATTTAATGCCTTTTCGTCACAAAACCAAAGAAAAAGGACAGAAGAAATTTACGCCACTATTTAAGTTACAGGTAAAATACGTGCTTTTCTGTAAGAGTGGAGTGAGAAAGACAGCGATAATGCTGATATGATGCCCACACACAGACACGGCAGCGACTAGCAACACTCCACAGAATGAAACTCAGAGCCTTGTGGGAAGCAGCTGCGAACTCATTCCGACATGGGCAACTGTGGCACTAGAGAGGAATCTGCTGTTGTTACTCACGCTCAAGGTTTTTTGTTTTAATAAATTTTATTACTCACATTCCAGATCTAGGGCTTTCCCTTTCTAGTCTTTTCTTCATCTTTCCCGGGAAAATTGTTGCTTTCGTGTGAAATTGAAGTGAGCAAAAAGTGAAATTGGTGGCATGTTTTTTCGCAGTTCAACAGCTCCACATGTTATCTGAGAAGAAGCAGAGTCACAATCGTACACTGTCAGATCTGAGCGATCCCTGTACCCCCCGCAACTTCGAGGACTCGAGAAAGAATTCGCTACTCTATACCCACGTCATTGCCTTCACCTTGTATGAGCTGGAAACCATTACCAAGAGCTTCCGTTCTGACTACATTCTTGGAGAAGGTGGCTTCGGAACCGTCTACAAAGGTTACATTGACGAGAATGTAAGGGTTGGCCTCAAGTCTCTACCCGTCGCTGTCAAGGTCCTCAACAAGGAGGGCCTTCAGGGTCACCGCGAATGGCTTGTATGTATATACATATTTCTCTCTCTCTCTCAAATTTCCCTAACTTTCAACCCTTTTTCCTAAACGTCATGCTCTATCTTCAGACTGAGGTCAACTTTCTCGGCCAGCTGAGGCATCCAAATCTGGTTAAGCTCATCGGGTATTGTTGCGAGGATGATCACAGGCTACTGGTATACGAATTCATGTTCCGTGGAAGCCTTGAGAACCACCTTTTTCGAAGTATGGGTTTCTCCACTTCTCCTGTTTTTGCATTGCTAAATGCTGCACAGGATCCCTATATTGATTCATGCTTATATGCTTATCTTCTTTCCCCGTCTCTCAATTACAACATCATATCCTCAGCTGCTCTCAATGATTACAAATACCTTGCTTTCATGCTCCAAACATATTGTCAACCACTAGGCTCTAGAAACTTTGCTATCTGCTCATTAACTCGTCAATTTGGTGTTAAAAGGATTCTAGCGACTAATGAACAGATTAACCTGCCCATGCAACTTTTTCAACTGGTTCACCTATTATCATCACAGAATTCTGAAGTGTGTGTGGAGCATCTTAAAAGGATTTGGTGTAGCTCCTTTATGATCAACTAAAGCTAATTGTAGAATATGGAATCTTGTAAGGAAAATATTTCACTGCTCCAAAGCAGTGCATAGGCTCATGCACGCAGTAATACCTCGTGATCTGTTGTAAGCACCCCTATGTTCAAGGTGCTATTGTAGACATTTTGTTTCAAAATCATCTCAATCTTCTAAATGGGCTGGCAGCTAATTATAAGAGATGAACCTTGCCATATTTTTTATTGCAAGGCTCTAGATTATCCTGTAGGTGTATGTTGTCCTAAACTTATTTGATCAATGAGGCACCCATGAGAATATAAACATATGCTGTATATGTAGGCTCACTCCCTTAATTGGGACTACTATCTGTATCCTCCTCCATCAGTCATCCTAGGTTCCTTGGGAAACTAGTGTGCCATGTGTCTTATGCTGACTGAAGAGTATCCAAGTTAGAAGCAAAAGCCACTAAATGCTTTAATGAGTTCCTTTGCCTCCTTTTTCCTTTTGATATTTGTTATGATTATTTTTGTCTGGTAATATTTTGATGTCGCTTTTCTGTGGCATTCAGAGACAACTGTTCCTTTATCCTGGGCGACAAGAATGATGATTGCTCTAGGAGCTGCGAAAGGGCTTGCTTTCCTTCACAATGCTGAAAGACCTGTAATATATAGGGATTTTAAAACTTCCAATATATTGTTGGACTCTGTAAGCATTGGCCTAAATCATTTATTTAAGAGCTTGCTCTTGTCTTCATCTCTCTTGATTGTTGGATGCTTTGTCCATTTCAATCCATGCTAGTGGATTGGCCAAAAGGGAAAGAAATTTTCATGCTAGTTGCCTCTTGAATATGCAGGATTATACAGCCAAACTTTCTGATTTTGGGCTTGCAAAAGCTGGACCACAAGGTGATGAGACCCATGTATCAACTCGAGTGATGGGAACGTATGGCTATGCTGCACCAGAATAGTTTATGACTGGTACGGCCTCCTAATATCTCAGAAATGTGTTATACATCGTCATAACATTTATATTGGAAAATAGAAGTTTAATCCATGGGGGGAAACTGGTTATGATCCATAAATAGGGAAAGGCCATCATTTAATATAAATTTCTTTTCTGAGCTGCCTTCCAGAAAGACAGGTCATGAAAGCATGTTGGTTGCAAGCTACCGGCACCAATAACATTTTAGCTGCTTCATCATACGGATAAGCATAGGTCCTTCAGTGTCACTGTTACTAACAATTGCGCCTTCTGCTTCTTAGATATGACAATGCATAAGAAACTTGCTGCATTAGTTTTGGCAGTGTCAAATGGGAAGATAATTTTGGATTTCTTTTCATTAATATTGTTTGGGATAGAAAAGAAAGAGGTTAAAACTTTGTTTAAGTAAACAAAAGAAGTTATTCAAAGTGGTTCACACTTTTATTTATGAATGATTATGAAAACAAATACAAGTATCAACAGATCATTTTTCTCATGATTCATGAGCAAGATCCAAAACTATAGATCTACTAAAATAAAGAGATATCAAGGATATACATAGATTGAATCTGACTGTATTTTCAAGCTGATTATAATTCCTTCTTAAGTGCCTGTTGTACCAGTTCTGGGACTTTGGTACATTTGAGCATTTATCATATTGTGAACTGCTCTGGTCTTCTATTTTTACTTGTGATGGTTTCAACAAATGAAGAAGCAATTATGTTTGATATGCACAGTTAATTATTTCTCCGTCTGTATAAAATGAGCAGGCCATCTGACTGCCAGGAGTGACGTATACAGCTTCGGAGTTGTTCTTTTGGAGCTTTTGACAGGAAGGAAATCTGTTGATAAGACAAGACCAAGCAAGGAGCAGAACTTGGTGGAATGGGCTCGACCAAAACTGAATGATAAGAGAAAGTTACTGCAAATAATTGATCCAAGATTGGAGAATCAATATTCAGTAAGGGCTGCGCAGAAGGCATGCAGCTTGGCATACTACTGTCTGAGCCAGAATCCAAAAGCGAGGCCATTAATGAGTGATGTAGTTGAAACGTTGGAACCTCTACAATGCACTGGTGGTAGCGCGGGTGAAGTCTCTTCATCTTTAAACCCAAAACTAACAGGAGGTGCTGGTCCATTTGCAATGGGTGGAGTTCCAGACTATCGTGTGCGTTACAGATTTTCCAACAATGTTGGTCCGGGTGCCATTTGTAGGTCGCCTAATCCAAATTGTTCCCCGGGTGGCCCTGCAGCATGCAGGGTTCGATGATAATATCAGCTAGTTGTACACTTCTTTGGTGTGTCTTTTGTACCATAACCTCCTGCCAAAATGACAAATTTGCTTGCTAAAACAAGGGTGGTTTTGCTTCATTGTACCTAATGTGTATGTTATCCGTAGTCAGTGTTGATTATGCTATTCAACTTAAGCTTGTATCACTGGAATTTCCTGTTCGAAATTGTTTTCAGCGTAAGCATACAGCCGCAGACTTGTAAGTAGATGCTTTTTGCCGCAATTTTATTTCGATGAAGATGGTAAAGATGAAAAATGTTGACAGCAACGATGATAGTCAATAGGAAAGACTAGCAACTTGCAACGATGACAAGGAGTATTCCCTCACGTTTGTTGGCAAAGGATTCTTAAACCAGCTGCTTCTTATCCTCATATTTTTGGTCGGCCCCATGTTCCTCCAAACCGACAAGTGTAGGTCCATACAACCCTGTGCGTGCAGATGAAAAGCAAAAGATGGATTAAAGTGGGGGCGGTGCATGGACTTCAACTTCATCCTACATCCTCTCTGGCATGCCTCTTCTTGACCTAAAATTCATCTTGGAAGAGCTAACATGGCTTATCCTGATACGTTATTATGCAAACGGAATGCGGAGGAGCACTACTCCACGGTCAAGGCCAAGGGCAATGACAGAAGAAGGACAGCAAGCATAGGAATCTAACAAACTTGATTCTTTTACTGAATTAAGCTCCACATTGAAGGTTTTGAGTCAAGTTAACCGCTTTGCATAAAGTTGGTTGTCGGTTTTGGATTGCTCCATACATTTTGTAGCCCCCATAATTGGCCCTCCTGCATGATTTATGATACAAATTGGGATTTGATATATAATTATTATATATATATATATAATATATATATATCCATCCATTTGTTTGACCCACCTTCTCAACAATTCTCCTTCTCCTTACTATCCACCACACAAATTTCCTTGGCAAATTTTATCGCTCTCCTTGGTGCGTGAACCCCGCCCCTTCCCCCTCTCTTTATGCATGCTTCTTTCTAGCTCTGTGCACCATGGACAGCTGGGCCACCGGTCATGGTATCTTGAAACTATCGATTGTGATCCTCTTCATTGCTCACTTCACCGCTTGTCAAGGTATGTTAGTTTCTGAATTCGGTTTGAAACGTAATCGTTCTTGCCAGCCATGTTAATTGAGTCCATGATAGTTGCAGTTAAGGCGGTGGTAGCTGAGGCATCATCATCACCAACCCGAGAATATAAGCCCGTAGCCGTTGGGCCAACCGAGTATCGCGTGCTTCAAGGCAAAGCTGATGATGCACGGCGGAAGCTTGCTCCTTTCCAGCTGTGCTTGCTGTGCAAGTGCTGCACCACCAGCGCCGCCTCCACCTGTACCACCATGCCTTGCTGCTTTGGCATCGACTGCCAGCTTCCTAACAAGCCCTTCGGAGTCTGTGCTTTTGTACCCAAGACTTGCAACTGTAATTCCTGCTCTGCCTAATTTGGCAATGCCAAGTGAAGAATCCAATACAAGTTTACTCCAATTCCGAATCCAAATGTTATAGTTAGGAACTGTACAAGTAGTTTTTTTTTTTATAAAAAGAATTTTCTTCCTCTTCCAAATTCCAAAAAGCTTGATGGAAAAAGGTTGGGAACTTGTAATTGTACACTTCAAGCCGCAGCTCCTTGTGGTTCAACTCAACATGTAGTAGCATGATTCGTGGTTGTCAAGTCGACCAAATTATTATATAATCAAAAACACAAAGCGACTCAACATAACTCAACATGTTGCTCCACATATGCGCTAGGCAAGTTTTTCACATCTTTGGAATTCCGTTCGCTTGATGTGTTTTTCCTTTATTAACAAGACAAAAAGTTAAAATAAAAAATATGAATCCAAAGAACTCTAATTTGGGAGACAGATTGAAAATATAAATATTTGTTCTTTTGCTCGTTGGATCTCTAGAATTGTCGTGTTCGAGAGAGTTAATAGCAATTAAAAGAAATCTATAACAAGAGTCAAGATGCAAGCGATAAAGCACTATATTGAATTCATGTGAGTAGTGAAAATAATAGAAATTAAGATAACAAACCTTCTACTCATTATCTATGAGTATACTCTCACGATGTGAGGTGGGGTCATTTTTTATTTTTAATATTTTTTATTTCCAAGATTTCTTACTTTTACTCTTACACAAAATTGATTGGCTAATGTGGCAAAAGGTATAACTTGTTGCAAGGTAACTCTCTTTGTAAAAGCAATGTACCATTGTATGATCAATCCATACTAACATTAACAATCCAAAGAATCCAAGACACAAAGTTCTAAAATGTGGAGAAAATAAGTATTAAAAAATTCATAGAATAATCTTTCTCTTATCAAATCTGTTTCAATCTTTTACCTTTCCAAGATTAATGTAGACTAATTCTTAGATCTTGATTGTAACATCGCTGACTTTGATATGCATTACATGGTGTGAATTAAGCTATTGAGGAATTAATTAAATTTTTATGTATATGTTTGAAGGCTTGAGAATATGCCCATGTGTATTGAGAATGACCTTGAAAGTTTGTTTTGCATTTGAGGATTTTGATGATATTTAAGATGTGCTAAGTGTATGGAAGCAATGCCTCATGACACTTAGGCAAATTGCTAGCCAAATTATTAATGAATCTTAAAGTTTGAAGTTGTAGATTGAGATTTAATCTTATATTTGAGTATCTGTGCAAGAACCTTGAGTTATATAAATGATTTAAAGTGTTTATTTGAATGAAAATGAATTACGAACTTAAATGGGTGAATTCGGAGACTTGGGATGTGAAAAATCTGAATTCTAGACATGATCTATTGATAAATGTTGAACATCTATCGATAGATACAAGATAGAAGGCATGGGAAGGCAATTTGGATGAACATCTATCAATACATTCACCTTGACTATCGACTGATGTTCACTTAAGAACCAAATGAAGTATGTGGGATGGAAATTATTGATAGATCTGCGAAATCTATCAATAGATGGCTACAAGGGATAAGTTGCGAACAAGTTGAGAAGCATCTATCAATAAATCTGTGGAATCTATCGATAGCTAAATGGGAAAAATGTGAAAGGGTCTAGTGCACCATCTATTGATAGACTTGATAAATGTATCGACAGATAAAGGTCAACGCCTAAAATTTTAGAGGGATCTATTAATAGATGCTGTCATCTATCGATAAATTAATGTGAAAATGCAACAATAAAAAGGGTTTCAAGCTATCAACTCATTTTAGAACAAAAGGAAAACACTTCCCACTTTCTAACCTTCGAAAACCCTAGAACCAATTGGGATTTGGAGCTTGTTTGAATTGGATTGGAGTTTAGAAAAACCATTGTTGAGGTAAGATTACACCTTTTTACTTATTTATTTTTGATTTAATTGGTTAATAACTTAGAAATCTATTTGCTCTAGCTTTGGTAAAATTTTCTCCCTTGAGTCTGCTAGGAATTTGGAGTTGAGATTGGGCAACCCAACTTCTAAGGGAAAACAAAGCCACTAACATGTTGGTGAGCTAGAGAGCCATTGGAGGCAAGAAAGTTCAACTTGGCAGTGGAATTGCTTTCGTTTGTCATAGTGAGTGGGTTTATTTGTTTGAATAAGATGCATGTAATGCACCATGCATTGAATAATGCATTGCCATGGTACGTGATTGATATATATATATATATATATATGTATATATGTAAATGTCTAGATGGATATGTCGAGGCTAGTAAAGTATATATGTTATATGTGATATGTATCTATGCCTTAGTGCAAGCCACATAATGGTTTAAGCCTAGACTAGGAGGCTTAGTGAAAATGATGAATTTCTAAGAATAGTTTACTCAAGACAATTAACCTCTTAGAGGATTATAGGTGTTTTATGCCTTGGAAGATTAAGGGTACTTAGAAATGATACTAATCTAATTAGAATCTGAAGCTCATTAAGTGTGATCCTTGATGTGAATGGTGTATACACATATGTGATATCAAAGGCATGATGGTCTTGATTGTGGATTTGTATTCCGTTCGATGATGAAGCTTCCAGACGTTGATTTGATTTGAGGTTGAGTGGAGTTCTTTTCCCTGTGACTAAGTTCTGTGCCTGTAAGGATAGTGGTATAAGTTTTGCCTTTGATTCTTGTTTGTAGTGCTTTGATGCCATATGTCGAGTAATTTCGGATGATGACTTTGATTCATCACTAGTTGTTTCGGCATTGAGTGTGATTAATTCTTTGTCGGGTGCTTTGACTCCAAGCATGATCTAACCCTTTGCTTGTTGCTTCAACATTCATGTCATTTGATTATCCACCAGTTGCTACAACACCAAGGGTTAAGACCAAAACTCAAGGGCCATGACTGATGCACGAGCCTAACAGGCAAGCCCATTAGACTTGAGCAAGCCTCAAACTTCACAACCATGTAACTCAAATGCTAAGGGATTTATAATCAAATATTCATAAAAATCTCAAATATATTACATTATCCCTGGCTTACAATCCATACAATTATACATAAGGTCATACGATAGCCATCAAATCAGGTTCGTACATAACAACCATTATACAGTTCAAATGGCACATTGTGCCTGACATATTCACCAACTAATCAAACTGAAAGATGGAAGGCCCATACAAACTCAAAGGAGTGCATGTTGGAAAAGAGACCTACTGGATACCTATTACATGTTTGTCTAATTGAGGACACTTGCCACATGACTTCACAGCTTCTCTTATTTGCAGTTGGTACAATAGAGGAGTGAGTTATCTAATACTCAGTGAGTGGATGCTATCACAGCATGATATTATATATATATATATATTATACATCTAGGCCTATCTAGCCATAGTATATACATATTCAAACATCTCTAAGTTAAAAGTGCAAGGATCATTCTAATGTCCTACATGCGCAATTCATCATAGTTAAACTGGCCATATCACATATCAATGGCATATCATATCTACAAATTTCCAAGTTCTATGTTATCATAATAAATCATATCAATTCAAAGCTAATATTTAAAGCTATTATAATTAAATTAGGCTTGATAGGCACACCTTAGTTGCCAAGCGTAACCTCAAATCTCATTTATAAACAGTTTCTTATTTCGAAGCATTCCTTCAGATATTATTCAGAGTTAGTCAACACAATTTCATATTCAAATCAAATCATGCCATCTCTGATGCATATTATCATAGTTAAATGAAATCAAATGAGTGGTCCTAGCTTGAATACAGTCAAATCATGCTTAGTGGCCAATTGGTGAAGAATCAGATCATGCTTAAGGCAAAGTCGCTGGTGGAGAAACATATTACTTGCGTGCTAAAGTAACGGGAGCATAACAGATCACGCACAATGTTAGAGCAGATAGCAGATAATGCTTGTGTCGAAGCAACTGGTGGAGAATAGATCATGCACAGTGTTGGAGCTACTAACGGAGAACAAATCACATAAATGCTAAAGCAATGGGTGAAGAATCATATCATTGACTAGAGTAATCTCCCGATCTTGGCATCACTCAAAGTAATCTCAATGGATGGCATCGAAGCATTGTGGGCAAGAATCACAAGCAAGATTAGTGCCACTATCCCTGGTTACCACCATCCCTGCAAGCACACAAGTCACAGGGTGTAAGACTACACTCTACCTCAAGTCAAATCAACATCTAAAATTCATCATTTGGATGGAACACATAACCACAAGTTAGGCCATCTCGCCTATGACATTACATATGTCCACATCAAATCACATTCAAATTCATTGAGCTTCAGTCATCTTTAAGCTCAATATAATTCTAGGTGCCTTCAACTTCTAAATCATCATCAAACGAAACACAATAAAGCTATAAGCCTTCATGCCTTTAACTCCATGTGGGTAGTCTTCATATTGAATCAAAACAATCATAGCTTAACAGCTTTATACTTATCATCAATTAACCACAAATACATGGGCATTCATACATAGATCATGTCTATAAGTAATCATGGCTTTTCAGCCCCACATATTCAATATCACTCAATCATTGTGCCATTAACCCAAATATTTATGGTGCCCATGTATTGAATAGGGCAATCCATTCATCATAATTCATCGCAATCCTTAACTCATAATTGGTATCATACCATAGGTAGGCCTCTTGTTCTGGGTCCTACATACCATGGGTTCTAACACAACGCCACCATGTGGCTCACAATAAATCACACAAACATAGATTTCTTCTTTCAAATAACCAATTAGCTTAGGCATTTTCATCTATGCACATAATCATACTTATTCTTTAGCCTAGGCACATACCTCTAGGCAGACACATATATATATACATACATACAAATTTATGTATATTATATACATATCAATTCTCTAGCCTAAGCATTGTCATCTGGGTATACACATAACATTTAAGTACCATGGCAACTCACACATTATGCAACTTGCATCACATGTATTTAATTAAATCCCACACATTTTAACAATTAGAGGCACATTGCAATCAAGCTCAACTTCAAGCCTCTAAGTGTCCTCTAGCTCACAAGTGCATCAATAGCCTCTATTTTTTTCCCTCAAACACATCAAAACAATACAAAATTATTTATTTCCTAACTTTCCAATCCTAACTTTTTAAAAATACCTAAATCCAATATATAAGCTCAATCTTCCAACAAATGAGCTAGACCCTTACCTTAAAAGCTAGGTTACCCAA